CAAAGGCGCTAAAAATAATAATAGCTAAGAAGAAGAATAATAAGAAACATAGCAAATACAATACGGACCTCCAGTGGTCGCTGGCTCGGCCCCTAAAAAAACTATCCAAAATGTTGATAAAATGGTGGTGATATGTGGAAGTTATGTGCTTGTAAACACAGTCGTATTAGCAACATGTGAATTATAAGATGTCTCAGCTGGAGTCACAGGAGAAAAGGTCTAAGGAAGTGATGTGAAGTGACCTTATTCCCACTAAGGGGGGCTTACGTTTGTAAAAAGTTTTCAACATAAATGCAACTACCTTGCATTTACCAACCCCCAGGCAATTGGTAGGCAGGGAGATATCAGATCGTCTGATATCGTGAGACAGTAACACTTTCTCAGATGACTGTACGAGTCACGCACGCATAAACTCTACCCTAACCCTTTAATTTTTGAAAAAAGGTGGTAAGTGGACCTTTGAGATTAAATTATTTTGCCACACTACTGTTTCCAAGATCAAGAATAAAGCTCAATGCTCATGTGCTAACAGCTCATTGGCTGGTTTGATGGTGAATGTCCTGTTGGTGCTGTGAAAAGTGTATTTAAGTGCTGTAGTTTCCCTGATTAGATATAAATGACATATGACAACATTGATCAAATAAAGCCCTGATAGCTAAGATATTTGTAGCTCACCTCTCCAACAGTTCCACCCTTGGCCAAGAGTCGGTTGGAGACATAGTCCATCATCCAGTCTCCCTGCCTCAGGTTGTCACAGAGCGGATGTCCAAGATCATTCTTAGGGCGAATCTCTGCCATCACCGACATCAGCCCTAAAAATCACAAACTCTTCATGAGTACTCGTACAGATTAAATTCTGGAATAAATGATGATGTTATGAAGATGATCATGCAATGTTCAAGTTAAGTACCTTGCAAGCCACCATAGTTGAGAGGTAACCAGGCAGGAACATTGTAGCATCCTCCCCCATCCTCTCTCTCCTCAGCATCACAGCGGTACAGCAGCATGTTCATGTCCGCCAGAGTCAGCCTGGACATAATGCTGGAAGGAAGGAGCATATAAGCGGAAGAGCGTGTGTAGGGGAAATACATAAATGCCCTGATAAAGGCTCATGAACAAAGACTGCTAAAAAAACATTGTAAGGCCACTCCCTCTGACTTTTAAGAAGCCTATGCCCTCTGGTTCAGAAAACTTCACATTCTTTCATTCTTTTCAAATGTAAATAATCATCAGGGCTATAGGACTAAAACACTCCTACCCCAGGGTGGGGCTTTTCTTTTGGGTAATTTTGTTGCCTCACACTCACCTGCCTGGCAGAATTATCTGGGCAAACATGCAGCAGATACTCAGCTGCCCTAACTGTCTTTTTGTTGGCAAGAGTTTGGAGTTACAAAGGAAGTTTTTGCAAAGAGCTAGACTTCCAAAATCCCTTGTAGTCTTCTGAAAGCAGGACCCTGTCCCTGATGTTGCCAAAGTGGCATTCTACATGGGAAAGTTTTACGCTGGCATCAGATCCTGTTTCTCTTCAGCCTGTCACTCCAGCCCAGCCTTCACCCCAGCCTGCTAGCCTCCAGCCTAAGCTCTGGGCTTCCACCCAGTTGTCTCACCTCCAGCCCACACCCCAGTCTGCCTCTTATTCATCTAGCCTCTAGCCTGCCTCCCAGTTGTCCAGCCACCCACCTGCACCTTTGTTGACTATCTTGCCGTCTCTGTCTGCTGAACCCTATGAGCCCTCAATGGACCAGTTGAGGAACTACTCTGATGTCCAGAGGCCATCTTACAAAGGAATTCACCTTGCTATTTAAAGGAGTATCCCCATAGAGGCCTCAGAAGAAGGCAACCAGCGGTCATCCTGATCCCCAGTTGGTCATGCTCACCAATACCCAGTCACGCCTCCAGTCTGCGGTCATCAGACAAAGAAGCTTTGACACTCTTGTCGCCAGCCTCCTGCTCTGCACTCTTCACACCCCGTCAATAAACTTTCACTTTGGCAATTCACTGAACTGTCCCTGTTTGCATCCATTTTCTGAGTTTGGGTCCTTTTCCCTTGCTGCCTGACAATACCTGAGTTGAATCCACAGACAGTGGCTAAAGACTATTACTCTTATTGAGCATCTTTCACTCCCTCAGACTGTGCCCCTCACTCGTCAAGTGTGTAACATCAATTACCAAGTTAACTGGAAGACCTGAGGGAATAGAAAATTATTATTGAAATGCACTGTTAATTGTTAAGGCATACGAACATCATCAGCGGCTTGGTGAGAACAGATGGTGTGCGGAGTTCAGCCAGGCTGCAAGTCTGGTACTGAGGACTAAATTGGATCAGTTGGCGCCTCAGAGCCCCCAGCTGCTCCTGGGAACTAGGATCTAGAGTCACCCTATAGAAGAAAACAGACAATCTAAACTGGGCCAGCCATACATAAAAGTAATTAAGTGATTCTGTGAAACTAAGAACAGCACTATTCTACAGCTATTACTTCACTCCCTCCTCAGGTTGACCCACCTGAAGATGATGATGCAGCCTGGTGGGAACTTCTCAAACACTATCTCCTGAACAACACTGTTCTCTTTTGACACCATGTTTGCCTTTTTCACCACCCTACTGTCCTTTAGCTGGAAGATATGTTGAAATACTTTTAATGGCTAAACATGAAGTTACTTCAAATGTGGACTGTAGATACCATAGAAGAGTTTTGCATGTTTTAGACTATTTATAACAATTCAAACATACTTTACTGTATGCATTACTGCTCTCTGGCATGTATACAGCACCAGAGTGTTTTGGACCTATGTTGCCCACAGTGGAGAAACAGAAATGCATTTTTCACTGTATCCAGAATTCCACACCACTGAAGATGACTACAGTCCATACCTTGATGTGTTCTTTGATCTCTACAGTGCGCTCTGGCAAGCCATTTATGTTTTTGTCACCATTTTTGTTGGAGCTGGTGCTCACAATGGTCAGAGCCTCCAATACAACCTCTTTAATCTGACCTGAGAAGACAGGAGACAGGCAAAGACTCAGGGTTAGCTGGAATGTATTCTTGTGCTTCTGAGGATTAAGAGAAGATAAAAATAAAAGTTAACGATCAGGATGTGGCTGCATGAATATCACCTGGTATGAACATAGGTGGAACATCAAAAGTAAAATGGTGTGTCTCTGGATTCTTGACCGCCCTTCGCAGCACAGCTACCACAGACTGGTGACTGCTGGGACAGTGTCTGGTCACTGCAACCACATCCTCATCCAGCTGCTCCAAATCCACCTGGACATCAACCACAAAATGACAACAGAAAAAACTGAGACTGAACACTGAGATTATGTTCTCAGTATTATTTGGGGGTTCCACTGACTTAAAGGTGCACATGCCGGAGCCTGCATTGACGTCACTTCTGTTGGTCGTTCAAAGTAATACCAAACAAACCAGAGCAAGGCTCGCCCTTTCCCCCCCACGTTTCCGTACTGTCATGATACGCGCATGGAAATCAGAAAGTGGATTGTCTACACTAACGTCACTAAGATGGCTGGAGCTAAATCCAACTGTTCCCAGTTGGATGGTCTTATCTTAAGTCTTTATACAATTGTTTACGATATGAGCGTTATTAAGTACAGCTGATATGAAAAATTCTTGGTATCAGCTTATGGCAAAAGGATACGGAAGCCGAGAACGGCAATTCGTTTTTGTCGTGATACGAATTAATTAATAATGTGTTCGTCGTTGACTTCAAATTAATGCGCTGGCTACGAACGGCTCCGTCACTTACCGCGGCTTACAGCTACGCCAGCATGTTACGGTATGCCGTTTCGTCGGGCAAGCGGTATTAGATTGAAGTCAAAAGCTATGAACTACCTATTACATATTGAAATGGCTTACCGCGTGTTATAATTTCTTCTTCGCCTCCATACACTGTCGAGCTGCAAGTCGCGTGGAAGAGTACATTACTCATCAACTCTGTCTCTGCCCCCCAATTATGTGCATCCGCCACACCCCACTCCCTCCCCCTCTCCCAAACATCTGTGGTGATTGGCTGGAAACTGGTTTTGTTGTATTTTGGTGCACAGCCTGCGCCCCTAGTGTTTGTTTTTATGTTCGAGGCCGTTGTGGTGTCTCCCGAGACCGGGTTTTTTCAGTGTATTCATGGGGGCAGGCAGCTAGCGGAGTCAAGGAGAGATTGCACGATTTGGAGAAAAAATTATAATCGCGCTGAAACCATGCAAAGATCGCATAAGTGCACCTTTTAAGGGAAGAGTCTACTTATTGTACCTGTAACAATTCATACTTACTACTACTTACTGTTAACCTTCAAGTGGAACGTTGCTAGATCCAAGATTATTTTTTATCTCCCATCAAAAATATTTCCTCTTATGCCCCTCCCAGTCCTATATGAGGCCACCATAGTTCCCTTCATGCTTGGTTAAGGTCAGGTGTTCACTTGGTGCAGTGCTGCACTTCACTGCTAGATGGCCATTAAATACTACAACACTGGCATTTCTTATAACGAAAATCAAACACAGATATCATGGATTGACTGTACTCTGTACAGTGCCTTCTAGTCTTCCGACACTCAAGCGCTTTACACTACATTGCCCATTCGTCCAGTTCACACCACATTATATACAAGTGATGGCCCAAGTTGTTAGTTTTACAAAACAGAAAAACAATTCATCCACATCACAAGGGCCTCACCAAAAATTCGGGTTCAGTATCTTCCATGCAGGCAGTAGGATCTTGGGCTGAATCTCCACCTCTGACTAGTGGACGACGCTCTACCTCCTGAGCTACAACCACCCGTATGAAACCCACTAATGGATTTTTAACTTGGGATTACTATTGCAACACAGATATCGACAACAGAATTAATGTCATGCTGAGCAGCTCTGGGAGAAAAAATTTCATACTATATTTTAAAATGAGGAACAGACCGATAAAGCTCCTCTGCAGCAAGCTCTGGTGAAAGGCCTGTATCGTGCAATTTCAGGCCAGATCCCAGGGGTCTGCGATGACCTGGTCAGATGTTTGGGCCAGCAGAGTTCCAGCAGGTGTACTGATGTTGTCCCCCCACTCTTCAAGATCTGAAATACAACCCACATTAAGATTGTCCAAACATCACAGCCAAAAAACAAATAAAACATGGGTTTACAGCCTTCCCATTCAAGGATGACTGCGATTTATAGAACATACTATTTAAATATATAAGTTATGCATTGATTGGGGCTCACGCCTAGCTAACCTGGGCGAAAGCTGGTACCCCATGTACCAAATGGGGCACAATCTCGGCTTTGAAAACTGAGCGTTACTGTTTGGCTACGTTATTTGATTGTTACCTTGATAGGAGGAAGCAGCTCATCATAAGCCCTGGCTGTGGCCTGTGCGCAAACAGGCCAAGACCAGGACAGACCTGGGCAAGAATGTTACACTGATGCATGTCTGAAAACAAACAAAAACAAAGCACAGGTTAACCTTTACGGTTCAATTAGCAATGTCAACGCCACACAGAAAGCAACCCAACCAGCTTTGACTTACAACAGCCTTGTGCTTTAATTTGTTGAGGAAACAAGGGTAGCCCTAAAGCCAAGCGCGTGTTTAAATTTCCGTCAAATTCCTTGAATTTGCACTGGAAAGTCGAAAACAACGATAGTAAATTCCTCACTCAATCCTCCCGTAGCTATTTAGTTTATAGACCAATAATTAGACTAAAGCCAAAGTATAATCATCCGTCACTTGAATTGATGATGGCCTAAGACAGGGCGAGGATTAGCTAATTAAGAAACCATCCTTTAGGCTACCATGTAATATGTCCCTTTAGCCCGCAACATTATTTGGAAATCACTCATTAACTTTCTCTAATGCAGATGGCTACGCAGTTATATCTATCAATTCAAGGGTCCCAATGAAAATTAATCAATGTATCTAAAGTTATTATGTGCTTAAGGACATAAAATCCCTGGATGAGCTGCAATTTCTGATGTTAAACCTCAGAAAAAAACGAGGAATTCTTGTACTTGCGGTCCAAACACCTTTAGAGGATCTTACTGTCTAACTATATAGTTACTCTAGATGGATTACCTTGGCCTCTAGCACCCACTGCAGAAAATCTAGGAGTTATCTTTGGATCAGGATTTGATTTGCACATAAAGCAGACCTGCCTAAAGCAGACCTTCCTCTCCTGTGGAAACCAGCTTCCAGTTGGTGGTTCGGCAGGCAACACGCCCCCACATTTTAAAAGAGGCTTAAGAGCGTTCCTTTTGATAAAGCTTATGTTAGGGATGGTTCAGGACTCATCCTTGTTCGCGCTATTAGGCCTAGACTATCGGGGGATTTCCCATGGGTGCACTGAGGCTCTCTTTCCTCTGTTCTTCTGAACCCTCATGTCGCCATTAATGCATGGTTACTAACTCACTTCTTCCCCGATTTCTTGTGTTTCTCGTCTCACGGTTGCTCACTGGATACCTGGTGGAGCCTCCTGCCTGGTCCTGCCTTAACTGCCATGTGCCTAATACTCACTGACATATGAGTGTTCATTATTGTTATTAAAGTATTATTAATGTTTCATCAATCAATCAGTCACTACTTATCTATGTAGTTGGTTGCTATTGTTTGCTGTGAGTTCTGTCTGCTCTGTCCTCTCTCTTCCTCTCTCTCACCCCAACTGGTTTGAGGCAGACGACCACCCACCCTAGAGCCGAAGGTCTCCTAGGTTTCTGCCTATTTAACAGGCAGTTTTTCTTGCCCCAGGGTCGCCAAGCGCTTGCCTCTATGGTGGTACCTGTTAGTCTCTGTATAATGTTATAGGTGTCGGTCTAGACCTTTCTTTATTTGGATGGAGCGAATTTTAATTCAATTATAATTCAACTGATTAGAGGCTGATATTTCTCTCTTGACACAGACTATCAACTTATTTGGAACCAGCCAAGTGGTATAGATGTCTTCCAGCGAGAGACTGTCTGGAGAAGTGCACGTTTACCCCAATAACTAACAATATCTCTTCTCCTGCCCCTCTGATTGAAGGCTGAGTGTGGCTCATCACGATCCTAGTAAAACGCTTTTGGATTTGCCACACAGTTAGATACATGTCATACGAGACACTTCCTTCAGTGTAACCCTGTCTTTTGAGCTCCTTTGAGACATGGAATGGGCAAACATTGGTGGCTTCATGCACGTAGAGCTACTACACCCCCAAACCATTTTTTTCTGCTGAAAATTCAAGCGTATATGGGTACAGTATTAGTAGTGTTGTTGATTGACACATTTTCATCTTGGATTATTGCAAGTATTGATTCTACGATATTTTATTCAGCCTCTTTTGAGCCGAGGAGGCGTGGAGGGGGATGTTGAATTGTGTATGCATTTTTTGATAGGGGGAGATGGCGCAAAAGGGGCCACAGGGTTGGAAGTCAAAGCCAGGCTGCAACGGTAAGGATTCCACTGCTTGCGCAGGTCAAGGGCAGATTGTTTGGTGTGTTACGAAGTCAAGTGCCAGGCTTTAAATAGCGTAATGAGTGCACAAATATTGCTGGGTTCCTGTTGAAAGCTTGATCAAACATTTCATAGGAGGGTTATGAGGGCAGCGTTGTCACAAACCATCAACAGCACTAAAGATGAGACATGTTAGAGAGCTATAGTAGCATAGCAGTAATTTAGTAGGATTTACTGTTCTAAAGTAAAGCATACGTAGAAGATTTTGGTTAGTATGAATGTGGTCTTGCGGTGATGAGCAGACCTGGAGGGATTGTGATAGCTAGGGGCTTGAGTTCTGAACATTGCGCATGAGCCAAGCTGCGGATCAGGAGCCGCAGAGGCTGCGGCTGGAACAAAAGGCAACCAACGGCTCTCTGCCAAACCAGGACAGGCCAGCGCCCCCTGCTCCTCCTGCCCTGTGTGTAGCACCGCACAGCATCTGACGGTGAGACAGAGGGAAGCACTCACATCAGCAAAATCAGTGATGATTGATATGAATTTACTGCTCTACTGAAAGCATGCCAGCTCACACCTAAGTAGGCTACAACATGCCCAACTCCTTAAAATGCTGGTAAATTTAATTACACTTTGGGGTCTGTTTACCAGTAGAAAGGTTTTTAGTTGGCTTTACAAGGTATATTTGAACGAATGGTCTCACGTTGTGAATTTAGATTCAATATAAATTAAAGCTGCAAGCAGGACCTTGCCATCCCCCCACGTTGGGCCTGCGCACGGCGGTTGCCCCGCCGCCGCCGCACACACCACTGTCTCCCCCACGCCCCAGCTTCATCTTCCGAAGGCTGAGGGAGAGCCGCTCTACGCGTAGCGTTTCAGACACCGTGCAAGACTTTTGCGGGATTTCATACTGGAGGACTCTTCACTTGCGTGAAACTGGAAATTCAAGTGCCACACCAACACGCATTGACGCGACAGTAATAGTTTGATAACTATTGATCACCGATTTCTGACACTGCATGATTGAATTTTGAAGTCAATCGAAATCTGTAAGAGAAGTAGTTAAAAATTAAGAAAGGCCCTGAAATTTGGCGGAAATGGGCATCACAGTTTGACATCGATTCAACCTGGCCAACTTTGACGGCACGCCACGGACACGCCTTCAACGTAAAGACACAATCAGCACCACTTTTTAATTCAGCAAGATCTGAGGTTGACTGTACTGGACCAATTTGAGAAGTAAGATCCGATAAAATTCCTAGAGGAGTTGTGTTCAAAATACAAGGCAAAATTTACAGAACAAGTGAGCACGGAATTCCAAAATGGGGCCAACTTGACGGAACCAGTCCACAAATAGCCACAACTTAATCAGCAATGTTTTTTGAACTTGTACGACCGATTTTAAGTGACCACAAATTCCCTTAGAGTGGTTTTCGGTTTAAATTACAAGGCCGAAAAAGTTCGCGAAAGTAAAAAATGACAAATCAAAATGGCCCGACTCCTGTGGGGTTTGGGTATGGGTCCAAGAGGCCTTTTCGTAGCACCCTCCGGCACGTTACACGTGCCTACGTTTCATACATATTGGTGAGAACATGGCGCCAGGGCTGCCCTTTTTTTGAATACTGTAGGGTGCGCTCCAAACACGACAGACACGCATTTTTGGGATATGTGGCTACACGTGCCCTGAATTGCATATTCAAACTGATTATGGTCTCCGCACAAGTAATGTTACCCTGCCCAAACCAGAGCGCCACCACCTAGGTGGCGGATTGTACACATTTTTGAGCGAGCGTCAGGGAGCCCTCATGAGCGCAAGATATCACGTACCAAGTTTCGTTTTGAATCACACGTGCCGATCGCGGAGATATAAAACACGTTCCATTTTAAGAGCGCAGCCTTGTGGGATGGCCTGAAATTCGGTGCGCAGATGCCTAAGGGGAAGGACATGGGGGAACTATGCGACCCAAGCTCGGTGTCAATGAGAGCCATACCAACGTGAAGAAAGGGTCCAGCTCGCTTTTGACGGAAAATTTTTGAAATATCAAAGACTCTTTCAAACATTATCAAGTGCTACGTGGAAAAATTTTGGGCGATAGGACAGAAGCGTGATAGGAGTAACACGAAAAGTAGTTTGACTTCGCACGTCTAAAAATTATATATTTCAGCTCATTATCCGAAGCGGTGGATATAAGCGTTTTTGAATTGGTGGAAAAACTATGCGGGAAGTTATTAGCCCACCAAACGGCCACTTTTCTTTCCGATCTTGAAAGCAACACATAAGAATAATCAAAAAAAAATTTTTAAAGAAATGGCAGACTTATAGACAAATTGGAGCACACAGTTTAAAAGGAGTTTTAGTGTTACTACCTACAGAGATGCTGATTAGGCATGCCCCCGGTTGTAGAGAAGCAAACCAGTCCCAGCAGGGAAGCAAGGGAGGCAACGCACATCGTCTAGCCATCACAATTTGGCCCTTGTCAAAGTCGCTCAAATCCTCACGCTGCCCATTTTTCCTGCTTCTAACACATCAACTTTGAGGACAAAATGTTAATTTGCTGCCTGATATATCACACCGACTGACAGGTGCCATGATAACCAAATAATTTGTGTTATTCACGTCACCTGTCTGTGGTAATAATGTTATGGCTGAAAAACATTTTTGCAAGCTGCAGCAGTTCAGCGAGGCAGCCGTCACACACTGTTCAGGCGTGATATATGTCCAGGATGTATTAAGTGTGAAGCGCAGTGGGGCTTATGTGTAGGAATATGGACGTGCAAAAGCAAAAGGCTGTCTGACAGCGAGGTAAAGGTTTTTTGAGGTGGGGCTTTTTTATGTGGCTGCAGCCTCCATCCACAGCAGTGCAGCGCTCTGCTTTTGTCCTGGGGTCATTGTCAGCTTCACCAAACTGGGGGCGTGTGTACTGTCGTTTACTGCAGGTAATAAACTGACTATGGATAAGTACCTCACCTAAAACTGAACTGTTCCTTTATGGATATATGTAGATTTCGATTCTTATTTAAGTTCCCACATTCCCACAGTGAAGTTTGTCATTTGCAAAAATGTTTTTTTTTATTATTTGCAAACAACAGTTTTCATAGTTTTCAGTTTTCAATACTCAGTACTCAGTACAGTGTGCAGCCCTAACAACATAAGTCTGAAAAGCAGCAGACTTAGGCCAAAGTAAAAGCCAAAGTCATGTAAAAATGTAGCGTTCCAAACTCACACACAGTGCTGGTGCGATTGCTTACCTCTGATGAGCGAGGTAATACCCAACCTAGCCACACATACATTCTGCAGTACCTCTCTAATGATCAGCTCAGCCACCACATACAGGTCTGGCCTCAGACAACGAGCCTGATCGAGCATGCGCTGCAGGGCCAAAACACGGCAAACACAGACAACAGGGTCACCGCCATACCATGCAATGATGGGCACAGACCAGAACGAGGAGAAGATAGAGACAGATAGATACAAGTAAAGCAGTGACAACACAATGAGGGGATGGATGGGAGGATGATGGCGATGCATAGATAGACAGAATGACAAGGATGATGAAGCATTGTTTGGGATGGAGGATCGGGAAATTAGGTGAAATAACCAAGTTTGTATCAAAAGGCAATTTGAAATGAAAATATGGAACATGCATGTACGTGTCAGATGCAATTACAATAACAAGCCAAAAGAGACAGAACAAAAAGAAAGAGGAGAAAAGGAAGAAGACATTTAGTGTCATTCCCAGTCCAACCAGACAACTGCAGTTCTTTACTATCCTCCAGACTGTGCAGAGTGGAGCAAGGCAACGGGGTCGGGGTCAGTACCTCGCACCAAACTGGTGATTCCCAGGCGGTTTAGCCAGACATTGTCAATAAACTGACTGCCAGTAAAGAGCTCAGCTATCACATAGAGGTTAGGCCTGATGTCTCTGGCTGCTGCAAGCATTGCCTACAGGGACCAACACATAAAGTACACAGCAGTTAACCTGGAGTCCATCTACCAGAGCCAAGTGTGTGTTCCCTTACAAACCCGTGATACCAGCCCAAGATTAGATAATATGCATCTTTTAATTTGCGGGTAATAATAATAAAGTAATCTCTGCTGCTGTTATTAATTATCAAAAGGTATGGATAACAAGAAAGTTGACTCCATGGCTTGATTCTCTGTGCAGGCCCTATTTAGAGCTTTGATCAGCCAATTCGTCCCGAGAACGAAAGATTTCTATGCTTGCCTGAACAGAACTCGAACCACAGAAGCAAGTTTGGGCCCGAACCCGACCCGAATTCCCACTTTAAAAGAATAATAATTTATATTATAGTTTATTACAACCTAAAATAAATATTGTGCATATAATATAGTGCAAATTATTATCAAAATGAATAAATATCAAATACATTCTAAAACCTTAAATATATAAAAAATAAATAAAAGCATCTCATTCTTAAAAGCCCTAAAAAGACTTAAAATAAAGTAGAAAGTTGACTTAAAAACACAAATACAACAACTTGTATTTTACACGTGTGTAGGTCATGAAACTAACGTGAGACATGTTTTATCATTCAGCAGAAAAGAGGACCTTACACTTTCAAAAATAGACTTCCTTCAAAATCAAATTGACATTGTGAAACAGTCACACAAAAACAACTTCCTCAGGTTTAGGAATTTACATATGAATGCACAGCATCAGGAGCAATTTGGGGTTCAGTATCTTGCTCAAGGACACTTCAAAATACGGCAGGGAGGAGCTGGGGATTGAAGCAACAACCTTCCGATTAGCGGACAACTCGCTCTACCTCTGAGCCCCAGGTTTTCCTGGGGTAAGTCCTGTTTGTTTGACACATCCATCTGCCCCAACCTCCTCCATATTCTGACTTTCAAACTCTTTACATTACCTGACTTTGACGGTACATCAAAATATACGCTAGATGCTTTTGAGATTACTATGGATGCAAGGCCCTTCAGCACCAAGCTGTTTTAATGGAGAGGGGGAGGGCAGAAGGACAAGCAGTTCTACTGGTCTCAGTGATGAAAGATGTAAATTGAGAACATGTATAAACTCTGGACGGGTGGTTAGAGAATACCTCAGCTACATGCAGAGGGGTGGACAGGCAGTTGACCAGGCACACACCAGAGAAGACCTTGGCTGTAATCTCTGTGTACGACTTCATACGAGCCCACAGGTAAGGACAATCCTCTGGTTTCTCTCCATAACGAAGCTTGATTGTATTGCCCAGACAGACCAGTTCTCTCCGCAAGTAGACCTGTGAGCCTGCAGACATCACAATAAGAAGAAATGGCGGATCAAAAAATTGGTAGTGTAGTATCTTAATATTAGTTTTGTGTGATTTGAATGTAGAGCCAGAGACCTGCATATGTCATCCGATCCAACCCGGACCGATAACCGATAAATTTTATTCATATTTGGCAGAGCGTTTCTACTTTTTCCCAGTCTTTATGGCACTGGATTAGCAGCCCAGGAACAGAAACAGCACTCACAGACCAATTACATACATAGTAAATAATGTCATGTGATGCTACTCAGCAAATCAAATCAAGTCAGTGAGTGAGATACACACATTGGGGAGACAAGACAGGAGCCAACAGTCGCAGGAATAAGTGACTCAAAGAAAACGAATTTGGCGTGCTTTAAAATGAGAAAAGTTAGAGAAAATGTCTTCAAGCAAAGGAACCGGAACATCATAATGTCTAACTTGCATTATGAATCAGTGTCATACATACTGAAGTAGCTTAGCAGCTGCATCACTGACCCACAGGCGCAATAGCAGCACTGTGACTCTTTTTAGAAAAAGTTCTCACTCCTGGGCACTACTTTTTAAAAGCATTTTTTCCATTATACACCCTATAACACCCTTATGAACATTTTGTCAAAAGAATGACAAAATATCCTGCAGTTTTTTTTGTCACAATCCATACAATATAAATTTAAAAAAAATCTTAGACTGGTGGTTTTACTTCATTTATGTTCATTTTAGCAACACAAAGTTTCCTGACATTTATTCCTAAAAACCTGAAACAAAGATTGATGCATTAAGATACTTAAGTGTGAATTAAGACGATGCAATATGGCAAATGTATAGAAAATATACTTAATTTTACTGTCACTTTCAGACTCGTGCCTGATGGTTGAGGTAGCCTGTCTATCAACAAAAATCATCTCACAAATGTTGGTCCTGTTGGGAATTAAAGAAAATCAGGGGAAAATCATGTTTCAACCTCCTCTTCAATTTATCTTGCCTGCAACATAAAAACTGCAGCTTAAAAGTCCATGCTCAGCTGACTTGTAAATGGACTTGGTAGAGATACATTATAGGGTCTGAAATATTGTAAGCCTGTGCAACAATAATGCTTCTGTTTGTTTCTGCAGCTTCCAGCAACTGGCTGAAAAATTAAACAATGTATTATTGCCATAATGGTCCAAACTGTGCCTCCTCTTTAATACACTGTTGGTGTGATCCATAAAGTATGTCAATCAATTTATAAATCAAACTATTATCGTCACAATTACTCAGTCCAGAAGGTTCCATACACGGTTTAGGCTAGTTATGTATATAAATGTTCCATCTTAGCCTTTGTGGTATAACTTTTATGTATGGTGGTGAACATTATACACCAGAATAAGTTAATAGAAGTTAATCACACAAAATGTTGTTTATTATGTTGTACATGCACTATGGTTAAGTTACAGAGAAAAACTGAAAATCAAGTAAAGAGCACTGTGTATTAATTAATGATGATTTTGAGTGTAAAGTAGTATAGATTCTATGTAAGCACACAATGATGGTAATGTAGGCACTATGTTTTTAAGAAAAGATGAAGTAGTATGCACCATGGTCTTAGTGACAGGTTGATACATGTGTAGTACACTGGCTTTTCATCATGTAGTGTGTGTAGTACACTTGCTTTTATCATGTAGTGTGTGTAGTACACTGGCTTTTATCATATCATGTAGTGTGTGTAGAAAACACATGGTGTTTGCACAGAGGGTATGTGTATGGTTGTAGCACAAGCCTCCTGTCATAGTATAAAGTCTATAACAGTTTTTAAAAAAATACAGTAAAGAGCATCTGTGACATAATGGTGTAAAAAAGGTAATAAAAGGTTTAAAGAAAAAATAGAAGTATGATAAGTTAGATCTTAATGGTGTAATCTCTGAGAGAAAAGAGAAAAAGAAGATGTCCCATACAGGTGCAGGGTGGCTAAGTTGGAAAAACACATAAGACACCATTAGAGTGGAGAAACCACAGGGTTGGTGGGATGCCCGGGCATTTCCAAGGGCATCTCCAAAGGGGGACTTTACACCATTACGTCAAGGGTCAGAAAAAGTTGAAAAGAGGGCAGGACCTATGACATTGTTGTATAACCCTGAAAGGTATAAAATAAGATGTTCTGAGATGAAGAATTCAGTCTTTCCACGGATGACTCTGGCTTTGTTTGTCTGTTAAGATAATAAAGCTCTATTCTGCTGACAACCTTGATGAATCCTGATGATTATTTTTCACTAGAAGAACAGTATTTTTGAACCTAATTTAGACTTAAATTCTGATATGTTGGAACCAATCTTCTGATCAAAGAAAAACTTGTTTTGACTGAGATCCAACACCTTCCACACGTTATTAATGCAGTCAGGACAATCATCGGTTTCAATAGTGTGCAGTCTATTATGTTATAGATGTCCATGTACTTGCAGCTGTATGCAAAACAATGTTTATCTGACTCTGACTGTACAATATATATTAAATAAATGATGAATTTCTACTTAAAGTTTATTGAAAGTACCCAGCAGCATTTAGAAAAACATGCATCTAAAAATTATTGTTTCCCCTTAGCTCACTTTGGTATTCCCAATATTCCCCCTCTAGAGTACCAATGCAACTTTAACTTCAAACCTATTTTATTTTTTTACCTGCTGTGTCAACGTTTCTGTTCGCCTGCCACAGTAAAGCACTTACAGGTCTTCAGGAACACCATCAAAATGGATTTTTATACAATGCAACGTTCTATGTTTCTGTTATTCTCTGACTCGCGCCCTGCCATTGGACGCTGTTTGTATACCACCGTGTACCGGTAAAATTATTCGTCTCTTCTTTCTTTATGGACGTAAGATAGAGCATTGTGTAAAATCCAAGTTACGCACTTTTGAAAAAGGTTTGTTGTAATTTTATCTTCTCGTTGCCTGATGGTGACAACGAGGGCGCAGACATCTTGGATTCTTGTTTACATGTCATTCCAAAATACCTGATTGGTCCAGGGAAGAAAGTGACGATTGTTCCGCGAAGCCTCATCACTTATAATCAAAATCTGACTATGTGAGGAGAGAACTATTGCCGACTTTAAACACAAATTTTAAAATAACTGTAGGATGTCACATAGACAACTTTTCTAAACTAAACTAATAGATATTTTTATGAAATAAAAAATATTTAGTTCCCCATATAGACGGTTTCACCTTATGGCCTATTAATTATATAATTAGGAACACCCACTGTTTCATGTCAAAATGGCTGCTGTGCCAAACTATGCAAAACTAGAAGAAAGTAGGGAGATGCATTCGTTACCTGCCTCTAACAAGGTTGTTTACCTGGTCCAACAAAGTCCCTGGACAGGTCATTTCCTTTCACAAAGCCATCATGTGCCAGAAAGTGGCACGCCTTGTCTCTCTGCTCCATCAACTGCGTTTCCTCATCAAAGGTCATCTCTTCAAAAGGGAAGATGAAATACCTGGAGGAGACAGTAAATGGTAAATGGTAAATGGACCTGTATTTGTATAGCGCCTTTATAGTCTACCGACCACTCAACACACTTACACTGCATGCCACATTCACCCTTTCACACACATTCACTCAGTGATGGCAAAGCCCATCGAACAGACACGCATTCACATACATTCACACCCCGATGCACAGCATTAGGAGCAATTCGGGGTACAGTATCTTGCTCAAGGATACTTCGACACGTGTGGGAGGAGAAACCAACAACCTTCCAAATTGTGGACGACCCACTCCGCCTCTGAGCCACAGCCGCCCACTGACTCTGAGATATCAACACATGGATCAGAAATAATCTACACCCAGGTAATATTACACCTTTTAATAAACTTCATTAGAACCAAAATTTACAAATAGACTCCTACATTTCTTATATTTCTATAGATTTTTACCCCAATTTATATTTTTTTGTCAGATCATTTTACAGCGATTAGTATTTATTTAGATAGTAAAATTATTTTAACAAATGGTGACTTTAACAGGTCAGTGAAGATGTTACCTGGGACAGAGAGGGTATTTCCTTGAGACCGGACCCAGCTTAGGCCCCTGATCAGAAAGACGCTCATGAACTACATTTCTCACAATGCAGTCAGTCGCCTGAGGAGATAAAACAGCAATGGGGTTTCAACAACCCAAAAGAAAGTTGAACAGCAACCACTGAAAATAAATCTGTTATCCTCACACACACACACACACACACACTTGTTCTGCGTGGTGGTTCATCTCTTTGTAGGCTTCCAGGTTCAGCTCCTCCAGTCTCCCTCTGAAACTGTTACAACACTCCTGGATGTCTGATGGGCTCATACTGTTACCAGCGAGAAAGAGAGAGAATTCAGTCCATCAACACAGTGACTCTTGTATCACATGGTCATGACTTAACATGATATTGTTACCAACAGAAGGATCAGTGAGTGTTTCAGTATATATTGTTCTTATCAGCTTGACATATTCACATTTCAGTAGACCTTTCACCTTTGAATGTGCTGTCCATCAAGAAGAACTCCTAATTAATTCTTTGGGAATTTTTTTTACTCTGTTGTTATTTTCTTTTCCTTTTACACACTTTTTATTACTATTACAATCCAAGTGGATCAAAGAAATCCCATCAAGCATTCCTGAGATATCATGTTCACAAGAATGGGACAGACGGATGATGTCACAGTGATGTTGATGATGTCACAGTGAACCACAAAATGTGATCACTTAATCATTTTATCCCTTTAGACATTGGTGTGAAATGTTGTCATAATTAGCATGTGAATTCTTGAGTTATGGGCAAAATTGTGTTGTGTTCACCTTGAACTGTGACCTTTGACCACACAATTCTAATCTGTTCATTCCACAAAGTCCACAAATTATTCCAAATTTGAAGAAATTCCCTCAAGGTGTTCTTAAGGTGTTCTTGGTCAAGGCAGACGGCCACCCACCTAGAGCCGAGGTTTCTGCCTCTTAAAGGGAAGTTTTCCTTGCCGCCGTCAACCAGAAGTGCCTTGTCATGGTGGGAAAACTGTTGGGTCTCTTTTAAATAATTTTTTTCATAAGCGCATACAGTCTAGACTGTTTTATTTGAAAACGGTCCTGAGATAAAACATTATGATTGGCGCTATACGCAGGAATAAAATTGAATTGAAAAAGATATTACATTCACATGAAAAAGACAGACATGAGGTCATGGTGAACTTTTACCTTTGACCACCACATTTGCATGGGACGGACGGAACCGGAAACAATACAATAACAATATATTTCACCACACAGTATATGCAACTGAAATCTTGTCATATTACCACATCTATATATCTATATTACTATATCTATATGCCAGTATCCAACTGTACTTTCCCTGCCCCATGGGGAGTAAAGCAGGTGAAGGCTATAGAGAGGAGTCACCTGTGAGGTGTGAAAATGTTCAGGGCCGAGTTCATGTCCACTTTGTTTCCAAAGCGTCTGTGCTGAAGGTCCTGCACTATCTTCAGCTGCTTCTTACACTCAGGACTGGACCTGGACCTGACACCTGAACTACCTGGATGGATAAATGTCCGTACATTAGCTTCTTCAGAATGCAGTGGAATAGTAAGGTGTTTGTGGTGTTTTGTCTCCTAAGGAGACAACTAAAGTGGTCATCCCAAACAACATTTGCCTTATTTAGTTCTCTCATAAACCCATCACCTATTTTTGTTTTGTAAGTGATTTTTGTTTTATTTTGTTTTTTTGTGTTGTTTTGTTTATACATGTTACATTTTTGTTCTATTTTACAAAAACACATTTTTCCTTTTAAAAATAACTGAAAAGACTAATTATGAGCTTAATTTTAAGCACATGCTTCAAAATACTTACCTTACTAAACATAGACTACAAATATTGAAATAATTCTATGAATGTATTTTTTAGTGTGTGTGTATGTTGACACTTTTCTGTGTTCCTTCATCATTGTTGTCTCACCCTCCTGCAGCAGCTGTTTGAACTGCTCCACAGCATCATCCACGTTGACTTGCAGAAACTCCCACAGCCTGAGCCTGGAGAAGACCTGCTGCCACAGGAGGCCCTGCAGAGCCTGGCACACACACACACACACAGTGCTACAACTTTCCACTGGGTGGTATGGGTTGCAATTGGTCCATTTTATTCCCCTGCTTTTCATTAGTTTATTTCCATCCCACCACTACTGAGGTTGGCAAAATACAGAGGAAAAGGCGCTATGTCAGGACATACATTTTAGTTGATGAAATAAAAAAAAAAAAAACAGTGTGTACTGGCTACATGTTTCTACAATTTGAGAATATAAGAATCATTTTAGGCCTACAACAATGATTTATAATATTTATAATATATTATTTAAAAAATAATATAAATATATATGTATGCCATATATTTTGACGAAGCCACAGGGAGCCACTGGAGGGGGTGTAAAGAGCCATATGTGACTCTGGAGCTGCAGGTTTTGCTATCCTGGACCTATGTTAACAAATAAGACCAGCTGTGAGAAGACTGATTATTTCTATAAAGTTATTCTTAATGCCTTCCACCAGGTACCAGGATTCAGTCGGATTCCCCTTCTAATAAATTAAACAGGGCTGTAAAAAATCCTTTTGTCCAGGGACCGCCAGAATTAGCATAAAATGAAAGTTCCTTGTAGGGGTTTAAGCACGTCGATGTTCAAGTGGTTCTTAGAAATGTCTGTTCATTTGATAGTGTCTGTCATTTGAACACAGAATAGACATAACATGGTTTTGAATGCAGAGCAGAAGATCAATAGAGACTTAAGACTTTGTCTTGGCTTTTGTTGCTGAAACTGGGTGGAAACAATTAGAGTTTTAAAAACAATTGTAGAACCAATCCTTTAGGGCAGTGACATATTGAAACATTATCGCACCATATACTGCATGTTTTAAAAGGTTCTCTCTGTGTTACAAAGTGATATTTCCAGTTTAGTTTCTCTACAGGGGATAATGGATGAAGAACATTGTTGGTGCGTCCTTAAAGTAAGGACCGTATATTTGTTACATTGTATTTAGAAATATCCAGATTGGTAGGTGCTGAGATCTCTGATAGTCCAGTATTGCAAGAATAGTGTGTTTTTGGATTTGTGTGTAGAGTTTTGAGAATCTAAGGTTTCAAAACAAAAAATGGACAAATCTGGTTATTGGTAATAAAAATATATAACATGTTTAGTTATATAAGAAGTGCACAAGGTTGTATCTTGACTTTAACGTTACAGCAAGTAGCCACAATTACAGTAAGAATATTCAGACTCACATTTATGTGATGCTCATCTTGAATGCATGCTGGTACTCCTTGTTCAGCATATTTCCCATTAGCCACCTCACAGTTGAGATGCCACAGAAGTCTGTCCAGAAGCCATGCTGGTTTCAGATAAGGAGAGTTAACCAGGTTGTAACCACACTCAGGATGGAGGTGAATCCACTCACTGTCAGCCGCTAGAGACAATGGATGGTGGTAGAGAAGAGCAGAAAAGAAGAGAAGAGATTAGAAAAAATTTGCAACTACTGTGTATTTGTTACTATGTATTCACAAAGTATCTTATCTTACCATTAGGAGTGTAACAAAATCCTAGCAAAATGTAAAAAGCAAAGCAAAAAAATAAATAAACAACAACAAAAAAAGACATGTGAGCGTACCATGGGAGGAGTTGAACACTGAAAAGGACCAGGCATCGATCCTTGTGGTTACCCAGTGGAAAGGACGTAATACTTTACACGCTTTCCATGCCGTGCAAATTTAAACGATTGCCCTGTGTGGTAGAACTACACACCGACTACCCAAGATGCTATAATCAGATAGAGTAGATAGTGTTAGCTAACAGGTCCAGCAAGATGAGAACTGCTGAATTTGTTCTTGATGACCTCAGGGCTTGTATCGCAGACAAAAGGGCAGAAGTGGGAATTAAGTAAATTAGGGTTGCAAGCCTGAGACTTCACATTTGAACCTTCATGCAGTGACATTGGTCTGTATTTATAAACTTTAGATGGGTTCTGAGTGGGTTTTTCAACAGTGGGGTGTCCTGAGACTGCCTAAACATTGTGGGGAATGCACTTTTTTTTTTTTCACATTTGCGTGACCGCAAGTGGTGGGACAGCTCAAGTCATCATCATCAAATCATAGGTTTTAAGGACATCTCCCTCAGCAAGAGAGTAAAATGCAGAAACTGATGTTGAAAAACCTTGAACCAAGAACAACATAGGGGAAACAAGACTTCAATCTTTTAGGTCCAGATTTGTTGGCATCTAGCAGTGTAGTTGCAGACCTTAACTCCCTGCTTGACCCCTTCCAAGCGTGAAGAAGAAACTACAGGGGCCGCACTAAACGGCCCTATCTAAAGCTATGCTTGTTTTGTCCATTCAAATCAACTGTTGACTTTAATCAATAGTGACAGCTGAAGAGTCAAAGGAAATAGTTACGGACTGAAACTCTGGGCCGTAGGGGCAAGGACCCAGCTCTACTGGGTGAGCTAACCCTAAACTATAACATTCTAAAACACCAAGGCACCCAATGTATAGTTAGCTAAATGTAGTTTCTGTATTTGAAAATTAAGATCAGAGAGGGAAGGTTTTTCTATCTGAAGTCTAGCTGTCATGTTCTGATAAAGTGAACCCTGTTACCAGTCTATCTATGTATATGACCTTCAACATGAATAGGGACTAAATGTCAATGAGGAAACGGAGAAGGTGATGTAATAGCACAGCTGCCACTGTGGTTTATTTCCACCACAGCACTGCCACTATCCTTGTTAAGAGTAAGACAAGACTTTTCACTCATCGCACTGAGTCACTACAACAGCTGATAGAAATAGCATACAATCACATTATATAACAATGTTTCACTCACAAGTGTTTGCAAGTGTAATATTTCCCCATACAAAGCCACCGATTATAACATAAAATAATCCAATTGTTCCAATGTTAAAATCAGGTGGTGCAGTGAAGGTTGCAAATAATAGCAAACTGAGCAGCTAATTGATTATTCGAATCAGATTACAGGTCCAGTGTGTAACATTTAGGAGGATCTGTTGTCACAAATGGAAAATAATATTCATAGGTGTGTATAATCACCTGAAAAATAAGAATCGCTGTGTTTTTGTTACCTTAGAATGATACGTTTTTATCGACAGACGCAGTGGTTTTTTGCATGTTTTTGTGGCCACCATAGATCCTAAAAGGCTGAGCTGTATGATTGCAATCTGCAACTTCACTGCTAGATGCCACTAAATCTAACACACTGGTCTTTTAAGCTTTACAAATACAAAATAAATATCTCAAAATACATTCTCCTGGATGAAATCCTATTTAATGATTGGTTCCTGAGGCACAGACATGTAAACAGGACAGAGCCCCCACTCCTCCTGTACAGGAGCAAGATGACCACTCTGAAAGAGACACAAAACAGCTACAAATGACATGACCATATTGTTCTTTAGGATGGTTCTTTCAGTTTGTGGTTGTTTTGTGCCTGTTTTTAGCTTTCTGAACTGCTGGGCTCCCACTCATTAATCCATGTATGACTTTACCTGTGTGATTATAGACCACATCAGTGATGCAGACCATGTTCCAGTCTTTCCTCAGTGTCTCCAGCAGATTACCGATGTCTCTCCAGGTACAGTGCTTCCCCTCAGGTGAAAAGTCAGGGTTCAACTCCAGCTGATCAGCTATGGAGTAGCAGAAGCCAGACAGACCAAGCTTCTGGAGCGGGGTGAAGTGGATCATGTTGTAGCCTACACAGAACAGAGCCAAAAGCAACATGAAACCTCAGATAAAGAGAGTTCATCAGCATCGTTGAGATCAGTTCATTCTTGTATAGCAACATTTGTTTTCGTAAAATAAACATTCATCAACAAGTCCACAACCCACTTGCTCATAAAGCATGACCTAAAAGACACTGAAAAGCTCCAAGAACAGCAGAATTTGAGATAATTCTTCGTGGGTTCATCAATGACACATAACATTAGACACAGGGACACAGTAGAATAGAACCTTTTCCAGTGACCAGTGTGTTGTGAGACAAACGTAGAACTACTTGAGTGGATGGATGGATGGATGGATAGATGGAAAGATGGATGGATGGATGGATGGACGGATGAATGCATGGGTGGATAAATGGATGGATGGTATTTTGTAATCAAATTCCTTTGGTTGCCAGTTTGTGTCAAGTGATAAGGGCAAACTGACAATTTCATATGTTAAAACACTAAAAGTGTATGTATGGAATTTGTTCCTTCACACATGTAGGACACAACAAGAGATTTGTCGTGTCAGACGTGTTCTCACATGTTGGAAATACTCTTTTTGCAGCGCATGCAGCAGGACACTGGTATTTTATAGTGAACTATGAGCAGGATGCACAGTCTACGTGGAAATTAGAATGTTTTCACATCACAGACGACCAAGAATTATTATAACATGAGGTTACAAAATGAGGCTCATGATATTAAGATAGAGTAAGATAGATAGTTTATATGAAAACCAAACAATCTACAAACTAACAAACTAACTTTTTTTATTTATTACTTGAAGGCTACATGCCACTCTTGTTGTTTGTGATGTTCAAATGTCTTTAATAAAGGATTGGATTTATTGTTTTGTTTTTGTTTTTGTTTTTTACCATGGTATTGAGTTAGATATCAAGAATGGTAGAATTGTACTGATATTAGTATCAGATATATTATTTCTGGTAATGTGACATCCATATATTGACATAATACCCAATATCTGCATTGTTAATGTTGTTGTGTCATAAAGTACTGTAGGAGATTGATACTGTATTCAGAAAATCTGTGGTCAGATCAGTTTGTCATGCTGGCCCACTCACCAGTTTCCTTTGCAACCCTGATCCTGTCAAGCCATTTGTCCAGTGGGCCAAGGCATTTGGCCAAGTATGTTTGGCTGCTGATGCAGTCCAGCAGGAGGACATCATTGTTGCCTCCCACTCTCAGCACTGGATCAACCACAATGTAACCACTGCTCACTTTTTCTGTATCCCTGTCAAAGAGAAAAAACAACTCTAAGCCCCTGATGGATTGGACACACGTGCATAGCTGTAGATGATGTTTAGTTCAGTGGTTCATGTCAGTTTACTGGACACAATAGTTAATTTTTTGCCCTGGCTGGCTCTCCTTGTGGTAATGCAGATCAGGTAGTGCAGGTCAATTCTGATATTTGTGTGAGAGTTAATGCATGTGTTTCCTCTTTCTCGAAATACAAAAGCAAGATTCTGGCAGAGACACACACACACAAAGACCTTTCACAGATTGAGTTCTTTCATTGAATCACAATTTTTCATCAATCAAATGGCAATCAAACAAATGCTATTAAGGTAGAGACTACAATAGGTGAGATTAACAGATGTTCTCATTGCTACTGGGGCAATTAGGGCGGTGCTCAGAGCTTATTCCCTTTGGAGTAGGAATATGTTCAGCACATTTCCATTATAAGATAGTTGACTCATGTATGCAAAGCTAAAGGGATATTCCACCCAAAATATAGCTTGGTGGTAAGTATTTAATACAACCCTGTTGTTGATGTTAAATAGTACAGTATAGTAATAGTAGTTTTTTTTTTGGTTACTGTCCTTGACCATTGTTGGGAAGTAAGGCATTACTAGTAATACAATTACAGTAATAACATTAATTTATTAATTTCCCCAGTAACTAGTAGTGTAACTAATTACTAATACATTTCAGTAATAATAACAGTATTGAATTAATGTGATGCACATGTTAAATATAAACCAGTGTGTTACTGCTGCTGTTCATTACATCTGGACTGATGTTTTTCAGTGTAGATGAATGTTCTCCTACAGTCAGTCAGTCAGTTGCCTTTTGTCTTTAAACTTTGTCTGCAAACTGACCAGGTGATCACTCTGTTGGTGGTCAAAACACACACGTTTATGGGTGGCAATTCTAAAACATGTGTGCACCAGCCAAGCTGACCTGCTATATGACCTTTAGTGCTTTATTTTAATTTGTGGCTGTTCATTATTGTGAAATTTACTTGCCACTAAATGTTGCACTAGAGCATCTCAGACCAAAACAATGGGTGCTACAGCTCCATTGACAAAACTAGTAATTTTACTTAGCAGATAATCATAAAACACACTTCAAACTGGACTGAAACACCAATGTTGGTTTGGTCAAAATAAACCCCTTCATTCAGCGAATTCACTAAAGAATTCCCATTGCTAGGTAGCCAATGTTTTCCTTGGGACAAATGCGTCTGTAGTACACTGTTTTTGCCACTGACAGGCTTAGATTGTTATTCAAGTGTCTGACAACATTATGGAAAGGGTCCCTACAGAGATTGACCTTTAGTTTAACCAGAAACAGCAGTAATATCACTATCACTCACCACAAGACTCCATATACAAACAGTCATTTTACTGTTACTACTAACTCAGGTTTGCTAAAAATAAATCCATAATTTACCGACGTAGATAAAAAACGTTTCAGTCTCTCCTCAGTTTTATCCAAACGGACTAACATGCACTAACATGCTGTGTATAGAAACCACAGAGAGGCTGCGAAAGTAACACAGAGGGAGTGTGACACCATGACCCCACTATAT